CATCCTCTTAGGACAAACCAACAGAGGACACCAAGGACAAATGTATGCCCCTCTCCCCCATAAGGTTTCATCAAAAAGAAATTTGTACCTAATTGGTCACAGCATTAGCTATAGGGCTAAATGGCCAAAAGGGCATTTCTCCTTCTCTTGGGGTTTAATAGTCTTTTCTTTTAGCACAACCCCACATTTTTATAATACTTGATGAAAGGGATAAAAAAAATACAGTTGCTTGATTTCCCTTAAAAAAATAAAATAAAACCTCAGATAACTGCTTTAAGTGCTTTATAACTTACAGGAGAAAGAAACGGGTTCTATAGGAAGAACAGTTAACTATATCTCGCCTGGAAAAAATCATTATCAGTTCTCAGTGGTTCTCAACCTTGGCTGCACATTAGAATCACCTGGGAATCTTTTAAAAATCCTGATGATTTTAAAATCCCAGGTGATTCTAATGTGCAGCCAAGGTTGAGAACCACTGAGTTAGGCCAAGACATGATATCATATTAAGTCTGGCAGGAAACCAAGGATTCATTTTGGTAAAAATGCTAAATATGTCTTCTGAAAATTTCAAATACCAATGCAGTCGGTGCTATTAACAAAAGCATGGTGTTTTATGAAATATATAAACAAATTGAATCCATCCAGGCCCCCAGGGTTCCTGTTACCAGCTATGGAATAGAGATGAAGATTTAAAAGACTCCTAACTCAGCATCACATCAAAGGGAATAAACTCTGGCTGAGCCAAGAAGCTACTGGAAGGTGTATGTGAATATGAATCAGAATAAAGAACCATTCCAAAAATACACACAGAAACAGGTCCCTGCAGAGGAAAATCATACACTTCCAACTCACACTTAGATCTATTGAGTGAAATCAAACAAAATAGCCTGCGTTAAGATTAAGTGCAAAAGCATTTGCTGCAATGGATGTGTATGACTACACCAGTAAAACAAAGACATCTACAGTATGAATGTGAGTTTCTGCTGAGAGGCAGAGACCTCCCCAATCTCACGTTTTCCACCCGGTCACTCTGGACAGAGGCCTGAGGGGGAATCGCTTCTTTTGGGGACTGCAAATAGAGTCTTCTCGGCTGCACAGGGGCCTCTCTTCTTTCATATTAAAATGATTTTTCCAAGAAGCTAAGGTCTTAGCAGTCAGCATAGTATAGGTGCTGGAAGGAGAAGCAGAGTCTGGGTTCCAGCCCGAATTCTGCCTCCAAGCCTATATAATAAATGTCTAATATGCTAAGTGTCCAGTTGTCCAGTCGTCTGTTCAACCAATCAAAGCATAATATGCTAATGATATGCTAAGGCCGCTCAACTGCTTGCTATGACGTGCACTAACCACTAGGGGGCAGACAGTTGACCCGTCAACCAGTCGCTATGACATGCACTGACCACCAAGGGGCAGATGGTCTGACCTGTAGGTTAGCTTGCTGCTGGGGTCCGGCCGATCAGAACTGAGCAAGATAGGCCATAACCCTCCCTCGACCCCTCCCCAGCTGGCCAACCTCCCACGTCCCTCCCTGGCCCTAATAGTGCACCAGTGGGGCCCCTCGGCCTGGCCTGTGCTCTCTTGCAATCCAGGACACCTTAGGGGATGTCAGAGAGCCAGTTTTGGTCCAATCCCACAGGCCAGGTGGAGAGACCCCACTGGTGCACGAATTCATGCACCAGGCCTCTAGTCTTTGATAAGTCTCCAAACCTGCTCTGTAAAATGAACAGACCTTTATGAATCTTGTTTAAAAAAAATGCCAATCAGAGATCATGGAGAACAGATTCCATCGTTTTTGTCCTTTTACCATACCGTATGCAAAAGAAATAGACAAAAAGGATCAAGCACCACAGAAAGGTGGAGGTGCCCACGAGTGTTGCTCTTTGGAATTGACAGAGAATTGAAGTGGACAGAGCACAGCTCTGGGGTATGAAGACCTGAGTTGGAATGTGAGCTCTACTGGCCTTTGCTGGGTGAGCGTGGCCTAGTTATCTTGCCACATTACAAGACTCGGTTTCCTCATCTGCAAAATGGAGATAATAACTACTTGACAAGATTTCAATGAGGATTTGAATAAAATGAAACAACATCCATGGAGTGCTTGGCACACAGACTGCTCTCAGAAAAATTCCTTCCTTCCTTCCCGATGTGTTAAAACTCTGTCTGACCGCCCGCCGGCATGGCTCAGTGGTTGAGCATTGATCTATGAACCAGAAGGTCACGGTTCGATTCCCAGTCAGGGCACATGCCTGGGTTGTGGATTCAATCCCCAGTAGGGGGTGTGCAGGAGGCAGTCAATCAATGATTCTCTCTCATCATTGATGTTTCTCTTTCTCTCTCCCGCTCCCTTCCTTTCTGAAATCAATAAAAAAATATTTTAAAATGTCTGACCTTGAGAGGCACCAGAAGGAAAAGCTGCTCCTTCCTGATTTTATGGGCGTAATGGGAACAGCACCACTGGCTTCCTAGATGCACCTGGCCCCCACCGCCAGGTTCTGTTTCCCAGACTCCCTGCCTGTCTTCTACGCAGGAACCTAAGCAGGTTGAGTCCCCTGGGAAGAGTGGGTGACAGCAGGAATCCCAAACAGCTGAGTGAGCATATCTATAATAGGAAAGGTGTTTCATAGATTCATTGAGAAGGGCTGCGGAGGCCTTCGCACCTGCACCAATCCCCACACTATGGTGTGGCAGCTGGCAAATCAGAGCAACAGCCACATCAGCTTGTGATGCGACAATCAGAATCAGTCTGGCCCAACACGGCCCCCCTTCTGTTTTGTGTGTCAGGCACTGCATATGATTTCGTTCGGGAAATGTCTTCCAGACCTTTAATAAGTTTGCAAAACGCCTGGCCCAAGTCCTGGAGGGTATTTTTAGGCAAGAAGGAGGCAGGAGTGGCAGGGGGACTTTCCTCCAGAAACTTCAGATCACCCCCAGACCTCCTGGATTCTCCCCAGGTAGTTTCCTGGAGGCTGTCCCACCTTCCTGGCAGCCTGGGATGCTCTGAGGATAATACGAAAGCAGATGTTGCAAGGATCTGGTCCAGCTCAAGGCCTGTGACTCACCAGGATGACTGGGCCTCCCGGGCAGACGACACCGTCCTTGGAGGACTCCGTGAAGCCAAGGAAAAACCCCAAGGCCTGGACTCTTCCAGGACTTTCCCTAGGACTTCACTAGAAATGTCAACCCCATCAGCCCACATGGGGCCTCAGAGATGAAGCAGCTGGCACTGCCCAGGAGTGGGAGCGGTGGGATGGGGTGTGGGGTGTGGAGGAAAGCTGCTCTGGAGCAGGTAGGTCAGGCCTTGGCAATGCATCAGCTGAGGCGGCCATAGGAGGTTCTTGGATGATAATTGCCACAACATGTTTCTTTCCCAACCCTGCTCAGAGCTAATTCTCTTTCTACTGTGGCAATGAAGTACAAATCTGTAACAGGGACCACCAGAGCCTGAAACTGAGAAGGCAGAGCAGGGAGTGTTGGAGAGTGAATTGAGGGGCAAAAGCCTACAGTAACTTGGGGTTAGGCAGATCTAGGTTTGAACCCCCCACTCTGCCATTTTCCAGCCAAATGACCTTGCACAAGTTTCTCAGCCTCCTCTGGCTCAGTTTTTTCATTAATAAAATGAGAATAAGGTTGTTGTGAGAATGAGTTGAGAAAGTCTGTTCCTACACAAAAAAAGCTTAGCATTTTGTCTGGTGTAATGTATCTACCTAACAAATGATTACAATGGTTTTTGTAGTTCTTCCGATTCTGACGTGGGTCTGGCACAGTGGGGTTTCCACTTTGTTCCTGAGTGTGAGTTTCCTTATCTCGCTTCAGCTTTTCGCTAGGCTCCCATTTGGGCCCACTACCTAGTCCTTTAGGACCTGAGTCCTTATCCTGGACCCCGGCATATGCCTCTGAGAACCACCTAACACCAACTGCCCACAAGAATTTTCAGATTTCAGCTACACTGATTCCTTGTTACTGTGCTTCACCCACATGCAGCAATACTACCTACTCTGCCTTGGACACTCCATCATCACAGGCTGATTGTCTCAGGGGGACTCTCCCATTGTGTGGAGTAGTCTTGGTAGAAAGATGCAGTGGCAAGTACAGTACAGAAGCTCAGTAAATGCTCATTGCTGAGAATGGGGCACAGCAGAGAGAGTAGTCTGGTGATCTCTATGTCTACCTCGCCCTGTCTCTCTTGTATTCCCAGCGCTTGGCACATAGTAGAAACTCAATATTTATTGAGCGAATGGATAAACAAATAAATGGAAGGCATATCCTTACTAAAAACATCATGTGACTGTGTTAACCTCAGTGGGCTTTGATCTCTCCATCCATAGACTGGCTCCTACCACCAAAGTAGATCTCCAATACTTTGGGGGAAGGGAGAAGGTTGAACTCTTAGACATGACCGAGGACCACAGCTCTACGTCAGGGTATGGTTCTCACATTTATGCTGCACTCCAGTACAGTAACAACAGCCCCATCATTTAATGGCGAGTTGCATTAATCAGATGCGAGGACAAAGAAAAAGAAGGGAAGGTGAGCTGACCTACTCTGTTTATGCTGGTTGCATTGTCCTCAACCCTAATCCCTGCAGGGCTGGGGAGAAGACAGGAGAGGAGGCGAGGGGAAAAGAGACAAGCAGGAACACAATGCCTGACACGGATTAGGAGCTCAAAGATATGTGAGTAACTTCCCACCTGGCTAGGGCTCAGCAAATGACAGCTTACATTACTCACAGTCCTATCACCGTGATAGGCCTACGAAGCAGGCACTCTTACTCTCATGTTAGAGCTGAGGACACGATAGATTTTTCTCAAGGCCACATCGCTTGTAAATAGAATATTTAGATCTGAACCCAGGTCTGCTGACTCCAAAGTCCAGGCCCCTCCTTTCTACCGACTGCTTTTGAAATGACCAATGCCACTGGGCACCTACTGAGCACAGCTGGGTTGATACAATGAGTTCGGGAGTTGAAGAGTACCATGTGTATTAGGGACACCAAAAGCAGCCGTACCTCCTCTGGTGTTGGCAAAATGATGAATTCCAGCATGAGACAACCAGGCTCCTTCCTCCAAAGGCCATGTTTCACTGAGGTCCATGCTTCCGGCAAGTCTCTTATACGTGCAGCTCTCACATCCAATGACGCCTCCTAAAATAAATAATGAGCACAAAAATGGAGATGAATTACTGCTGATGCTCTCTTGAGAAGGGGGGGCTTTCTGGAAGGAAAGGAGTATGTTTCCAGTTTATTATGTTTCTTTCACATGCAAAGGTTGGTGTCAAGATCTGGCAAGGCCTGAGTGTGCAAACTTACAATGAGACTGCTCAAGTCCAGGAACCACGGCTCTCTCTCCATCCGTGAACAAATGTTTATAGTTAATTGAGCAACTAATACATGCCAGGCTTTGAGCAAGGAACTTACTGTTCAGTTCTGCATATTTTGTAGACTCCTAGAATTTCAGCGTTGGATTCAGTAGGGTCTCAATTTCATAACAATAAATATATATATATACTATATATGCCTGGGAAACAGGCTGGAAAATTTTTTGAATTAAAAAGTTGAAAATAGCTATCATTGCATTGAAAATATGAGTGCTTTTTTTTTTTGTAATTTTATTCACTTTCCGTAATAAACATGCATTCTTTTTATGGTCTGAAAAAAATATATTATATTATCTTAAAGGAAAATTCCAGGGCCAAAAAGGGCCATGGAGACTAATCTTGCATTTCCTCTTGAAAATGATGATAAAAAGTCACAGGTCACAAGGGCCTTCCTGAAAAGGACACCTTGCTGGCTGCCCCCAAGAAGTCCAGCCTGAGGAACGTCACCCTCATAAAGTGTATCTGGGAAAACGACATCTCATGGCCAGACTTCTACCCACATTGCAGAGCTCTTCATACCGCTCTGCGGGTAGCAGGTCCTCCAATGGATGCGGCTGAGTAATTGAACATGACTGATGGACCTCATCAGCGAATGCAGCAAGTGGAACATCCACCGGCAGAAATCCTGTCCCCTAATTACGATGGGCAGCCATTATCATTTGTTGTAATCAGAGCACCTGGCTTGACTTGGTCTCCAGAATGCTGTTCGCATTTGCCCTGCAGGCTCCCGCACAGCTGCCGGACTGCCTGCAGACGTGGCAGACTGACTTGTTGCTTTTCGGCCGTCTGCCTAGAGAAGTGTGGCACTCTTGGGAGTCACAACAAACCACCAAAAGTCTCTGGTCTAACACCAGGAGGTACCAAAGCTTGTACTGCACTTTACTGGGTACTGGCTCACTAGGGACTTGTGTTTAATGCGAACACTCCAAGTATTAGGAGGGAATCCGAGACCAGAATGGATATGGCACAATGCTGTGGAGAAAACATTGGATTTTTCAATAAATCCTGATTTTAGCCTTGACTCTGTGTACTAACTTGGTGAGTTTGGGCAAACCACTTATTCTCTGGACTTAATGTCCTCAAGTTTAAGTGAAGAAATTGGGACTAGATGTTGCCAAAGACCTGTTTAGTCTTTCAAGACTTGCAGCCTATAATAATATGCTTTTACATACAAAGGCAGCCTCTCCGCCCACATCCGTGGGCCGAGAAATATGCATTATTTATGCATTAGCAAAGGGCGGCGTCAGCCTCAGCAGGGAGAGGTGGCTGATTGAGGCCAGGTGTCCGCCATCGGAAGAGAACGTGCTCTCTGTGCAAAAGGGAAAGCATGCCTGGAACAGAAATCCAGTCTCGGGCCATGATCACCCTAGTATTGTCATCTATAGTTCTAATCAAATGAACTATTTAACACCTTGTATCTTCATCAATTATGAAATAACATTAACCATAATACTACACTCTTCAAAGGCAACATTTATTTACAATGGATTGGTCACTCAAAACCATTTCATTAATCCTTGCAGGATCCCTGAGAAGGGAGATTCTAAAAGCTCTGTTTGACAAAAATCGAGCTTTATTTTTTAATTGGAGAGTGATTTGTTTGTTTTTTCATCCTCACCGAGGACATTTTTCCCATTGATTTTTAGAGAGAGTGAGAACGAGAGTGAAACATCAATGTGGAAGAAATACATCCATTGGTTGCCCCCTGCATGTACCTCAGTCAGCCGGGGATCAATACTGCAACCTAGATATGTGCCCTTGATGGGGAATTGAACCTGAGACCTTTCAGTGTGCGGGCTGACGTTCTAACCACTGAGCGCCACCGGCCAGGGCTGGAGAGTGGTTTTCAAAGTAGATTTCCCATCCTTCTTGGCCCAGTGGCCTAGGCACCCACTGGCTCCAGGAAACAGATTTGCAAGATGACATCTCTGGATGTGTGAGGTGAGGCTCCCACATCCACGCATTTTACTTTATTAATCCAGTCTGCATAGGTTCATGGTGAGTGCTTTAACTTCAACCTGCAAACCCTGCAGGTTTCTCTGTTGCCTATATTTCAAACCTCAGCTTGAGAGAGCCAAGCATAAAACATGAAATGAAATTGCATCAAACACAGGTATTTCGAGGAATATTTTGATCAATCACATCTGTTACTGTAACTCTAACACCATCACTTCAGGCCCAGGAAGCCACAGAGTGGGTCACGAAACTCTGGAGCCTAGAAAATATTTTCCAGGCCTCTGGCCATATACAACAAATTGTCCACGGTTTTCTATAATGTGTTTAACCTTTATACAAGGCAAAACTGTCAATGACTGCCCTGGCCGGTTGCTCAGTGGTTAGAGCATCAGCCCATGCACCAAAGGGCCCCTGGTCAGGGCCTGTGGGCCTGTGTGGGAGGCAACTGATGGATGTGTCTCTCTCACGTTGATGTTTTTTTTTCTCTCTCTCTCTCTCCACAAAACAAAACAAAACAAAAAAACCCTGTCAATGACTAAGTTCATGAAGAAGAAAATAAAGAGAGAGAAAAAAATTAATGCAACCCTGGGAATAGGAAGTGAGTACATGCTTTTCTCTAAAGCAGCACATGGCAGCTCAAACAACAGCATGTAGGATAAGGTGGCGTGGCATGAGTGGAAAGCCTACTGAAAACTTACAGTTGTACTTCGGGCTTTAAAAAGCACTTTTCCAAAGAGATGTCTGTACTCCATGTTCATTGCCACATTATTCACAGTAGCCAAGAGATGGAAACAACCTAAGTGGCTTGTTAATAGATGAGTGGCTAAGATGTTATATTTACACACACATACACGCACACACACGCACGCACACACAGGAATATTGTTCAGCCACAAGAAAGAAGGCAATCCTGCTATTTGGGACAACATAAATGGACCTGAAGGGCGTTACACTAAGTGAAATAAGCTAGACAGAGGAAGACAAATACTGAATGGTATCACTTATATGTGGACTCTAAAAAGAACCCCCCCCCCCCACAAAACTCATAGAAATGGAACAGAAAACTGGTTGCCAGGGGCAGGAAGGTGGGGGGAATTGGGAGAGGGTGATAAAAGTGTACAAACTTTTGGCTATAAAATAAATAAGTTCTGAGGAGCTAATGTATAACATGGTGACTATAGTTGATAACACTGTGTTGTGTAACTGAAATTTGTTGAAAGTGTAGGACTTAAATATGTTTACAAAAAAGATAAGAGAGGTGAAGATTTGTTCACTAGATGGGAGGAAATCAGCTCACAATGTATACTTATATCAAATCATCACAATGTACACTTTAAATATCTTAAAATATTATTTGTCAAATATACCTCAATAAATCTGAAAATAAAATAAATATCTAGCAAAAAGGGGGAGGGGGAAAGGAGAGGGAGAGAGAAGAACTAAGCCACCTGGATAGTTGGGCACTGGGATCTATGGAATGTTGGAATATTATTAATACATAATTGATATTTAATAAATATTGGCTGACTGAATGGATGAATAAATGATAATAACCAGTGAATATGGCCCTTAGTCAGATGTTAAATTCCATTAAGTTCCCAATAGAGACCTGTCTACGCTGAGAGAGAGGTGTGAACACGGTTGGATAATTGGACTTAAGAGGCTTCACTCTATGGCTCTCCCGACGACCAGAACTCTCCTTAAACCAACACAACTTCCTCCCTTTTCAGAGCTGCCTGTGGAGTGAGCCATCCACCCAGCTACCTGAGTCAGAAACTGGCCATCCTTGATTGATTGATTACATCTCACATCCAATCAATCATCACACTTAGTACAGTCTAACTTTCAAATGTCTCAAGAATGCATCTGCTTCTCTCTGTGTTCATTGCCTCCGCCTTAGTTCAGCCACTATCATCTCTCACCGAGATCCTGCAAAGACTTCAGTGGGTCTTTGGTCTCCCTTTCTTCCAACCATTCTCCACACTTTGCTGCAGTAATATTTTAAAGCACAAAGCTGAGCCACATTGGCCGGCTGACACATCATTTTTTTGATTAAAATACTTCAATGATTCATCATTCCTATGAGCCAGTTTGGACCACTTAACATGGCATCCAAGGTCCAATGATAGTGAAGTATTTGCCATCCCTGAATAAGTTTCCCTGTTTGGTCTTTTGTATATTTAGCAGTTCCTGGGGCTCTGGCAAGATCGTTCTTCCTGCCTCACAGTGCTAACTACAACTTATCATTCTCATCTCATCTTAGATATGGTCACGTGTTCCCCTCAGACTTCCCTGTGCTCTCCCCATTACAGCATGTATCACACTATCCTGGGATTGACTGTTAATATGTCTCTAGAGTTTAGTCCACACTCTACGTAGTTGAGATCAGACATCCTTTCTTACGCACTCCTAGCATTTATACAGTGGCTATCACAAGGTAATCACTCAATATATGTTTGTTAAATAAATGAAAATATAAGTGAATGATGATATTTGACACAAGCATATCTCAGTTTAGCATATCCATTTGGAAAGTATTCTCTTTGCTACCTCACCCTCTGCCTCTGCTTCTTTGGAAATTTCTCCACCTATAAACCACACCCTATCTGCCTCTGATTCTTGACCTCATTCTGACCTCAGCCAGTCTAACTTGCTGAGATTCTCCCACTTAAAACTCCCACTTCAGCTGGCATACCTGCCCAGCATGCCAGTAGAACCCCCTCATTCACCTGCCTCCCTCCCCAAGCTTGGGATGAAACTGCACAGAAGACACCTGCCCATCTAACGCAGCCGAGCCCCTCTCGACCTCTAACTAAGAGCTCCAGGGTTCTTGCTGACAGAGGGGGCTTCATTTAGGAACACAAATGCAGAGAAGTCCTGGCCATACTTTGACTCTGCCTTAACTGCCATGATAGCGCTCCATCTGTAGAGAAGGAATCAATTAACCAGAAGTGCTATGTTCGGGGAACCAAAAGGCATCTGCCATCGTTCAAGTATCCAAGCAACCACGGGTTCTAAGGAAGACGAACACCCTCATGGCAAGCAAGTCCATTTGCTGATAACTTATACTATAAATCAAGATATACATTAACATAGAGAGACAGAGATATACAAAATGAATTCATTCATTCATTTGATAAACATTTACTTAGCATCTCCTATGTACTAGTCACTGTGCTAAATGCTTGGGATATAAAAGGATAAATATCCCCCTTTCTCCAAGGAGTTTTTAACCTTGTGGGAGAGACACGTATCTGGACATACAGTTACAGAACAATGTGGTAAGTGCAAGCATGAGGCAGGCACAAGTTAAACCAAAGATCTGCAAATAACAGAATCTGGACGTTGGAAGGGATCTTAGGGTCTTCAGTCCAACCCTTAAATTATGCATGACTCCCCGGATGCCCACCCAGCCTATTCTTAAATACCCGCAGGCAGCCTATTACACTTGTGAGCACTTCTGCCAAGCAATTCGCTTTTAAATTCTCAACAACATACGGATGTGCATAGGTAATCCTCAGTGCTGCCGAGCTGTTCTAGGACCTCCTGCCCCTTGTTCTGTTCTTCAAAGGCTGCTTGCAGGTGGGCTACTCCACCAGGAATATCAAGGTCTTACCCCGGTTCTGATGCCCTGCAAGCCTCCAGATCTGGACCTTCTTCTTCAGTGAGTCAAGAATCAGAAGGAACGTTCCATCTTGGTTATGAGTAGAGGGTGTAAATATATCTTGTCACACCCAGAAAACAAACCAAACACCTAAATTGAAACACAAGAGAGAAGAGGTCACATGATGGGCTCTTCCTTCTCAGCAGGGCATTTCTAGCTAAAATCTACATGATCTAGGCTCTGGGTGTCCTAATCCACTTGGTATGCTTAACACATACATAGACTGGGTGGCTTGTAAACAACAGAAACTTTCTCACAGTTCTTGAGGCTGGAAAGTCCAAGATCAGGGTGCCAGCATGGTCAGGTTCTAGCCAGAACTCTCTTTTGTTGCAGACTACTGGCTTCTCCTTGCATTCTCACATCAAAAAAGGAGAGCCAGGGAGCTGTTTGGGGTCCCTTTGAAAAGGGTACTGATCCCATTCAGGACCTAATTACCTGCCAAAGGCCCCACCTCCTACTACCATCACATTAGGAGTTAGGAGGTCAACTTACAGATTTTGAAAGAGACACACATTCAATCCATTGTGCGAGGTCAAGCCTGGCTTCAGCTAGCAGAAAAACCCAATCACCAGTGGACCACAGCAGGCTAGAGAGCAGTCTCTTCTAGGGCTGCCCCAAGGGTTTGGCTCTTATGAGTTTCAATGTCTAAACTTGGAAGGTTCTTTTCCTTCCAGCTCCAAATAGTCCAAACATTTCACAATACTCATCTGGGCTCTTAGTATTCAAGTGGTACAATTCAGTGGCACTTAACAATAGGAAACTCTTAAGCTTGGTCGGAAGAGAAGAGTAGAACACCCTAAGAATCCACTGTGAAAGAAAAGACCTCTTTATGTCAATAAAAGGACAGGAGATGCTGGAGGCATAGTCTTACTCTGTCTGAAATGGCTGATGTTTAGAAAGTTGACATGATTATTCTGGCCTTCTGATGTGTTTTAAAGAATTCTTAGCAGCTTTGTAGAATTGGAATGTTTGAGTAACTTGAAAACTATTATTTCAAACTAGAGGCCAGGTGCACGAATTCGTGCACCAGTGGGGTCCCTCAGCCTGGCCTGCGGGATCGGGTTGAAACCAGCTCTCCGACAACCCCCAAGGGGTCCCGGATTGTGAGAGGGCACAGGCCAGGCCGAGGGACCCCACTGGTGCACAATCAGGGCCAGGGAGGGACAAGGGAGGGCTCCAGGGTGTGTCTGGCCCATCTCACTCAGTCCCAATCGCCAGGACCCCAGCAGCAAGCTAATGTACTGGTTGAAGCATCTGCTCCCTGGTGGTCAGTGCATGTCATAGCGAGCAGTTGAGCGGCCTTAGCATATTATGCTTTGATTGGTTGAATGGACAACTGGACGACTGGACGACTTAGCATATTAGGCTTTTATTATATAGGATTGGCTTATCCAACTGGTCAGAGTATTTGTGAAGCTACCACGGGATTTATTGATGTTAATATTTTAAGTATTCCAGTAAATAATTTATGCTACTACTCCCTAAGAAGCTGTGGCAACAAGCCTATTTTTAGGAAACCTAATGAAGTTATAAAATTATGAGGTTCTTTGCAGAATTCTCGGTGATGCAGGCTTTGCATTTCCAACTTAGTCCACTGAGACCAAGCTCAGAAGTCACCTCCACCATGAAACTTTTCTAGACCCAGTTATTTCCTTCTTCCTTTGTGCTTCTCAGAAGTTTTTGTATTCCATTAAGACACCCCTTTTCCACTGGAGAGGAATATTCTCTTTACAAAGTGATTGTCATATCCATTGGAAGGTGTCTTTGTCCTCAGGACAAAGTCATATCTTATCCACCCTTCCCTTCCCACAAAATGCCTGGCCAGGCCTGGGGTCAGGCAATGCTTACTGAATGAATGAGACTGACCTACCTATAGCTGAGAAACTGAAATGAGTTTGTACCTGCAAATCCTTCACATAACTCAGGGTTAAATCAGCAATCATAATAAAATGTTTGTGGCCATATTCTGCTATCCAAGCAGCACAAGTATACATGGAAGAATGGAAGAACAAAGAAAAAGAAATATATATATATATAATATAATACTAAAAAAAGGGTAATATGCTAATTAGAGCGATGTCTTCTGGATGTCCATCTGGACAAAGCCATAGTGGCTGCGAGGGCCTAGGGCCGGTGCCCCGTGGGAGAGGCAGGCAGCGCCACTCGGGAGGGGTGGGCTGCGGCTCAGCCAGCCATGGTGGGGTAGCCAGCAGTGGCAGCAGCAGCAGCACGCTGATGGGGGCAGCGCCTTTACCTGATTGGCCAGGTCGCCTCCTGCAGAGGGAGGACAGACTGCAGCTTAGGCCAGGGGTGAGACAGAAGCGGTTAGGGGCAATCAGGCCAGTAGGGGAGCAAGTTAGGGGTGATCAGTCCAGCAGGGGGGCAAGGTAAGGGCAAATTTCATGCACTGGGCCTCTAATATACATATATATATATATATATATATATATATATATATATATATATATAAATTAAAACTGGGTTCTCACCTGGCTTGGGATCATTTCTTAACTTATGACCTTGGACAAATCACTTCGTCTCCCTGCAGCTCAGTTTTTCTAGTGGATGAAACAGGACTCATAAAATCCTTTATTCCATCCTTACCAGAGTTTTGTGAATATCAAATGCAACTGGAGAATCATCAAAACAGTGCACAATGCATAGCACTGTTATCATTCAGCAAATTTGCTTATAGATAGCACCTGGTATGCAGCTTTGACTTGCAACTTGGAGTTGCTCAACTTAGGAGGTGTCATAGCATGTGGGAGGCAGTCTAAATGTGGTGGGGAACAGCAAGGACTTTGGGAACAGATCTAGATTTATATCCCAGGTCCACCATTTCTTAGCAGTGATCTGTGAGCAAGGCATATAATGTTGAGCCTATCTGTAATAGGGGATCATAATACACCCTTTTGTGGGTTTGTTTAAGGATTAAATGCAAAGATCTGTAGTTTGCCCACGGCTGCCCTAGCCAGTGACACAACTCAATAAATGACAATAGCCGTTGTTTTTATCATCGTCATTATTAACTCTTAAAGTAGATACACTTCTCGAAGTGAGAGTCCCAACTGCAAATTTCATTCCATGGGGAAACAGGATGAACTGCGACCAGGCATTGGGAAGCAGCCATTTGTCCCCAAAGGAAAGCTGCAGGCTAGAACGCACTGCCCCAGAAAAGGGCCTGTGAAAAGTGGATAAGAGTACAAACACGAAAAATGTGCAACATGCCAGTGCTAGGAAGGGAGGGGGGACACTAGGCGGACAGAATAACAGAGGCGAAGAGGCAGAGGAAACTCCTGTAAGGACTTGCTGGGGCAGAGCCGAGAACAAGGCTGCCTGCGTGTGGAATGTTGGGAACCCACAGGAGAGGATTAAGTGGTTCTATCTGAGACAAGGAGCCGGGCTGCAGCCTATGAGGCAAAGAGACAAAGAGCCAGAATGAGATAAACGGCCACGGCTCTGATTATGAACCAAGAATAGGATATTGACGTGGGTCCCACAGCAAAGGGCTGTTGTTCACACTCAGATCTTACAGCCACACCTGTGCAGGGGGAATATCGGTCACCCTCTAACCCAGCTGCCCACTAGAAAGATAATATGAGCAACATGAATCATTTTAAAATAGCCACATTTAAAAAAAGTAATACAGGTGAAAGTAATTTTAATAATATATTTTATTTAAACCACTATATCCAAAATAGTATTTTGACATATAATCAATATAAAAATGAGTAATGAGAACATTAGATTTTTTTTCACATCAATGCTTTAAAATCCGGTGTGTATTTTCACTCACAGCACATGGCATTTTATAGTAGCCACACCTCAAGGGCTCATTAGCCACTTAACACAGATCAAATCCCAAGAGAAAATGAATTCCATTCTCCTGACCTCCTAGGCTGTTGACACCTTTTGAAAGTCCAAATTCATGGAGCCAGAAACTACCTCTGGAGATGTTCACATCCATCTATGCATTCCTGACAGGTTTCCCCTTAGAATCTTTCTTTGAATTTAGGCAGTTTCACACCCCATCGAGAACCATCCTCCAATTAAACATTCCCAGAGGGCTGACTTGGTGGTTCACTGGACAGATTAATCATGGTGGATGTACTATCCACTCTCCCATTCGAAGGGAAACTGCCTTACCCACACCTTCCTTCTGCAAGCCTACGGCAGCTTTATGCACCCACTCCTCCCTGAGACCTCTCTGGCCCAGCTGACCAAGAGTGGGAGCATGACTCTCTGAACCATTCCAGCCACTGACATATCACCTGGCGTGGAAACTCCCACCCAACCAGGGACAGACCCTGTGGACCAGCTGGGCCAATCAGGCCCTTTGTCAGGAGTACAGAGGCAGCTGATGGGGAGAAGCATGGGAAGAAGACACACAAGGAGCAGAACGAGCAGTAATAATACTGGCTTCCAGTCCATCCTCAGCCTTCTTCAGGTTCCTCTTCAGTCTGTTTTCCAGATCAGCCTTCCAAAAGCCACTTTATTTGAACAGAGCAGGCCTCCAGATGAAAGACCTTAGAAAGCCTCCTGTGGGGAGGTCTTTAAATAGCGCTGGTTCCCGGAGCTCAGTTGGAACCTTTCAGAACCAACCACAGTGTGGGCTCCGGAGGAGCAGCTGTTTTGCTGTTTCTGGTTTTCCAAGAGATTCCTGTATCTCTTGTGGTCATGACCAGATTATAAGAATCCCGTATGTTCTGAGGGAGCCTTGCCTCTCAACACCAAGGCCTACCACAGAGATGGAAGCTTTCACACACTTTTGAGCAAAGGTCTTTTCCACCGCTCCCCTCCGGACTGTGTTTACATTCAGGCCCATGCCAACAGTGAGCCCGGCAGAGGAGTGATGGATCACTTTGGGTTGCATTCCTAAGTAATTATTCTGAAAAGACCTCATCACAGTGGCCTTCTGGGGACTCTTTGAAGCCTCACATCATCTACAGCCGTGGTTCTCAGCGTGACTGCACATTAGAGCCACCTGGGGCACTTTCAAAACATGCCGGTGCCCAGGCCCGCTCCCAGACACCGAAATCAGAACCTCTAGGCCAGGGCCCTGGCCATCTGCATTTCTTAAAAGCTCCCCA